TTCTTGTTGTATGGGCTGCTCTGAGTGTGTCAGCCAATTCACTAGAATGCAGGACCTGGAAGATATCTTAAAATCTAACCTCAGGTTTCACAAGGGTCATGTTATCTACTGAGAAAGTTAAGAACTTTTGTGACCATCAACTTTGTGACTCCTGAGTAGCAATTATAGGAAAGCAAACTTGGGGACAGTGGCTAATTACCATCACTTATTTTAGCTATGCTAATGTCTTTGTAAAGATTAGGACACCTATAAGAAAACACTTGTAAGAAAAAAGAGTATGAACTTAAATAATATAGCAATTAGTCTCTTGTTAAGTGATTTCTTGGTAGCCTCAAGTCCTTTTCCTAATATCTGAGAAGACGTTCCTTGATGTGTTCAGGTCTCCAAACTTTTGGTTCCTCCTAGTCTAACTCTGCCATAGACTTGTGGGAACCAGAAAAATAGAACTGTGGTCTTGACCCAGTCTCCCTTCTGGAAATTTCCAGGAAATGTTTTAAGGAAATAATTTCTTTAGAGAAAATGGCAGAGCTAGAGGAACAGGTTCCCCATCAGAGCAAAACTCAGAAAACAGCACAAGGAATCTGTGGTGTGTACATAAAAGTCTTGATCAGCAGACGTGAGAAACTAAGGCTGAGAAGACCCTAGCTTAAATTCACTTCTGTTTCCCTATGTGAAAGAGGATGATAACATAATGCTATCTTAACACTATGGCTTTATCTCCTGAAGTATTCCTGAAGGATGAGTGCTTCCAAGACTGGAAAGGGTATAAGCAAGGCTGGGTATAGTGGAAGCTCCAAAATTTGGACATAGCACAGACTTAGTGGTTAAAAAAAAAAAAAAAAAGGATTTAAATTGGATACAATGGGAAGGAACTGTACCTGCCTGACAAGAGGAAAGTTTCACTTAAATTTGGAAAGGAAGGTATGAAATTTTAAAAGGCAGCTTAAGACCTTTCACTTCACCTATGTATTATTCATCCCAGAAATCATCTAATTGTTGATTCACAGTAAAACAAAATGCTAGACTCAGAACTCTGTGTGGAATATGGATTAGAAAACAGGGCAACTCTGATAGAAAGTTCAATTGTCTGCCTACTCAAAGAATGGGAAGGCAGACATCTCAGGTCTAGTAGTCAGTCATGGATAATAGGGTCCTTGCTGCTAGACTAGAATTAGAAGAGAAGAAAGAGCAAATGAGATGACATTATGGTTTCAAGTTACTGGTGAATAACTTTACAATAGGGACCAGACAACAACCTAGTTATGACAAACGAGCTACATGCAATTGGAAGGGAAGTCATTCATAGAGCAATATAAGGTAGTACTTGGCAT